GAAGGACGTTCGGCAGGGAGAGCCCTGGAAGGGACAGGCCCTGTCCTCACCCGTATTCCATCAGCAGTTGTGCACTAGCGTGTGCCCAGGTTGCCTTCACAGATTCCCTGCTGGCAGGGTTTGTGGATGACGTTCAGCTGCCGTTTGTATCTTTTAACATTACTGATCTTTTTAAAAGATGTGGGCAAAGAAACCCTAAATATGATTCCAGATCTCTAGCATGTGTTATAAATAGGAATAAAGATGAAAGCCTGTTGCTTATGTTCAGCCGAGTTACCATCAAAATTAGCCCAGGATTAGCAACTTTGTGTCTCCAAATACATAAAAGCAAATTCTGCTCTAGCAGAAAAACTGAAAAAAAAAACCCAACTTAATTTTTATTTACTTGGTTTGGACGGAAGTTCTGCTGACTTACACTTGTACACCAATGAGCAAATATTCAGGGACAGAAAAGGATTTTGCGCTTGTAAATTATACTAATTTGGGAAAGAAAAAAACTTCAAATGAAGATGATCCATGAGAAAAGAATTTTTTGCAAGCGGACCCAGAGAAATGATGCAGAGGTCCTCCCAAAAAAATGTTTCCATTTGTTTGACGGTAGGTTCGTGATGTTTATTTTAGACTGAGAAATTGCTTAAAAGTAAAAGGGCACTGTTCAGATACGAAACCCCTGGTGTGACTGTGAGTCAGTGAAATTGATTGAACTGGTGGGGGGGGAAGGAAATGAGCCCGCACAGGGCTGTGATTTCCACGCTGTGAAGACAACGCGGGGGCTTCCAGTGGGACGCCTGTCTCCCCAGACATGTGGTTTCAATATCTGTAGGGCATGCAGCGACCACTGCTGCGTAGCAGGCATTCGGCTCTCCCTTTCTTGCGTACCATCAGGGCTTGGCAGATAAGAGGGGTGGTTTTGCACAGCACGCGGTGTCCAGGGAGGCGTGCAGAAAAGTTGCCTGCAGACAACTTGCTGGGGAGTGGTGTTGATCCGCGCGTGCTCGTATCTCTGCGGGTTTTCTCTGCAGATCCCCTGCAGGCAGAGTTTGCTCAACTAGTTGAACTGGCTCTTTCTGTCTTGTTTTTTTGGCAAACTAAGAATTTCCTTCCTGATAAAAACGGGCGGCGGGCGCCCCGATTGGGCGCTGCATTGGAGAGGATGTGACATCAGGCACATCTCTCGCTTCGCTGGATCGCTGGCTGCCTCCCAGGGCAGGCTGGGAGCTGTTTGGTTAAATCCCAACCCAGGTACTCGAGTTTCTGCAGAAAGCGCTGCCGGCACCACGTCCCAGTCTGCTGCAAGGTCTGTTCGACTCATGCGCGCAGAGTCTGCTTAATAAATTACTCCCACCACTGGGGGCTCACCGGGGCCGATGGAATTTGAACTCTCGAGACCGACCACAAAGTGAAAAAAACAGAAATTGGACAGACGGGGCTGAGATGGATGATGAGGGAACAAATCAAAACATCAGCAAATCTCAAGGATCCGGAGGCCAGGCGTCTGCAATGTCTCTATCAAACCCACTGATGAGGGGTAAGTAACGCTCCTGCCTCACCACCAGCCTTTGCCTCTGCCAGCAGCAGCAAAGGGCAGGGTCAGGCTATGGTGGTGTGCTCATCCTGACGTCCCGCTTCCAGTGCAGGTCCACAGTCAGTCCCACACAATGGCCCCATGCCCTTGCACTTCAGAAGGATATTAATAAGCTGTTCCTATTTGGTACTGAATTTTCGGTTGTTTTTTGATGTGTCACAGGAAAGAGAGCTTGATTCTTTATTGCAGTTTATACAAGCAGATACAGATGCAGCACCTGAAACACGGCATACTGAAAAAGAAGTTGCAATGTGGCATGTTTAACTTAGATTAGTGCCAGCTGGAAGCTCAGCACTGGCTCAGTTCCTCTTTTCTGTTCCTTCTCTTCCTTCCCTCCTTTCCTTTTTTCTCTTTTTTTTTCTTTTTCTTTTTCTTTTTCTTTTTCTTTTTCTTTTTCTTTTTCTTTTTCTTTTTCTTTTTCTTTTTCTTTTTCTTTTTCTTTTTCTTTTTCTTTTTCTCTTTCTTTTTCTTTTTCTTTTTCTTTTTCTTTTTCTTTTTCTTTTTCTTTTTCTTTTTTCCTTTTCCTTTTCCTTTTTTTCATTTTCTTTTCCTTTTCCTTTTTCTTTTTTTTTTTTCCTTTTCTTTTCCTTTTCCTTTTTCATGCACAGACCCAAGCGTCATTGCCCAGTCTGAGCCACCATCCCTATGAGGCTCTTCTGCAATAGCCAAGGTGTTGCGGTCAGTTGTGACCAGTGATGTTGAGGTCACTGGTGAACAATTATTCACGCAAATGGCCTCGCTCTGATCATTGCTCTATTGTCTGGCCCAGAGCCATTGAAAATATGACATGGTGACACAAGACAAGTAATTTAACTTCAGATAAAAGTGTAGCTCAATGTGTTCCCTGTAGCTCTGTTTTCTGAGAAGCCACTCCTTCAGCTCATGGCAAGGACAGAGGGACTGAGATAAATTAAGATAAGACTTTACACTGTCCTCCCTCCTTTCCTGGGCTGTTCAGGACACTTCCATTCATACCAAACAGGAAAATAAACCCCTAAGACTAGATGGTCAGTGTATCTGCTGTGTTGTCTGCCTCCCCTTATGTGGTTTGCTTATGCACATACTGAGGCTGTGGTGGGAGGGAAGGGATGGCGATGGTATCAACAGCGTAAACCAAACCAGGTCCACACTGGAGATGAGCTCCAGCAAAATGGAGGCTGAGAGGAGAGAAGCCCCCACACTGCACTGCTGCACACAGATCATTTGGTCCTTTGAAAATCAGAGTTCAGTCAATCCATCTTGTGTCTGCTTCATCCTTAGAAGGGTCAATAAACTCTGCTGGCAACGTACAGTGGGAATGTATTTGTCTCTGGCTACATATATCACAAACTTTAGGGTAAAGCCTTAGAATATGAAAAATACCAATTTTAATACTGTTATATATAATGCCATAAGCATGTGTGTATACAAGAGCATACCTCTGCCAAAAGGATTTCAAAGTTTTTAATACTGTTATATATAATGCCATAAGCATATATACAAGCATTATATATAAACAAGAGCATACCTCTGCCAAAAGGATTTCAAAGCCCATTGTGAGCTGCAGCATACATGACCAGTGTGGAAGAGAACAAGCCTGGGGACAGGACTGGAGTGTGAAACACCCTTCACATGGTCAGAGCCTGGAAAAAGGTATTTTCGGTCATCACCAAAAAAACGAGTGCTCTTCTGGAAAGGTCCTGTGAATGCTCTGTTGTCCACAGGGAGCAGTCAGGGTTTGCATGTGTGGTTATTGCTATGAAGCTCCCTTTCTATATGCCTTGCCAGCATTCACGTGCCCAAGTGATAGCAGTGCAAATATGACCAGAGGTTTAGTGTATCTCTGGGCTGGCTGAGATTTTCAGTGGTGAAAGGGGAGCTAGGTGATGCAATGCCACTGAAAGCCAGTGGGTTTTAGGATGCCTAGATGCTGCACGTTCTGAGGCCTGACTCAGCTTGCCTGTGGACTAAGGTGTGGGTAGATTTCAAATTTGGATAAATGGTCTCATTCCTCTGAGAGAGAGCAGTTGTACATATTTTTAGCAACCTGAATTCCTTGTTGCTGTGGTAGGTGCGGTGAACACAACTGTGCTGCCTGTGTACACTGGCCTTGCTCCTTCACGGGCAGCTCCAAGGCTAGCGGAAAGCTACTGTAGGCCTCCACTTCTATTTAGAATAAAAGCCTTAGTTCCTCTCATACAGAGTTCCCAACTGGATTACGATGTGTTGGCACATACAACTCTTTATTTTCCAGTCATATTTTGACACTTATGTGGTCAATCTTTTAATTCCTTGTTAAGACTCGGCAAAATTGCAAGCTAATGGCCAGTCCATAGATGACTATGGTCTGGTCTGCCTCTTTTTTAGAGTCTGAGTATAAACTTGTGTTTTCTCAAGCAAGCACTGAGTGGATAAAATCTGCACATGGATGTGATGGCATGACTGTGCACCTCCCTCTTTGTCACCAGAGTGCTCACATGTTGTTATAACAACTTGGTAGTTTGCACAAAACCCCACCTGTATTTATGTGGCCAAAAAAAGATTAAGCTGCGGCTCACAAAACTCGTTCCTCAATCTAGATTTTTAGAATTACTATAAACATGCTTCCCTTGCAACTCATGCAGATTGGGCAATGACATTGGCTTCTAAATGGGAAAATCAAAAGCTTTGTACAAAGCCTGGATACACAACCAATGGTAACACAGGCAGGATCAGCAAGAACAATGACATGGTCAGATAAGCATCGTTTGACACACATCTCTTTTAAAGCAAAGCTATTTTAGCCAATTAATAACACTCTGCTTTAAAAATTGTAGCATAGTTTGTCTATCCTTATGAGACTAGAACCATAGATTCTGGAAATGCTGTCCATTTGCTAAAGGCAAAGGATGTTTGTGAACTTACTGGAACTACATGTTTGTTGAGGGACATGGCCCATGGGCCACAGAAGGAGGCAGGCAGAGCTCAAATGATGCCAATAACAAAGAATACAATTTCCTTTAAAAACTGATTAATGTACATTACCCAGATTTCCCAAGTTCATTCCTCTGTTCATTTTATGCACTCGGTACCACCCATAAAGCTGTACTAGTGTTACGTCTCTTCCATCATTTGGCCTTTTAATTTTGTGGCTTCTTCCAAACATGAAACACATCTGAGTTGACGAATCCTTCTGTAGAGTTTGAGCTGCTTCTCAGGTTCTCTTTTTTTCCCCTTTGAATTTCATAGTGAAAGTAATACAAGACTGGAAAAGATCACCTGACTCATGGAGTCTCATCTTTTAGGCTATTTCTATACTGCTAAATAAAAGAGATTGGGACCATTTCTGTCTTTGAGACCAAATGGTACACACTGACTTGCCTTTGCATCTTTCACCTGCTTAAAGCTCAGTGCTGAATTATCCTCCTGGCTTTCTTTACTTGGCACTGCAGATTTACCTATCAAGTCTGCACAGTGTCTCATAGTCACAGGCAACAGTGGAATAGATGGCTGGTTTCAAAGCGTCCACCAAACACCTAGTCTGTAGGCCACAGTCAATAGACCACCAAACAATTTCCCAGTTCCCTGCCAACACACTGATGATCTGAAGAAAAAGACCCAAACCCACAGCTATAACAAATACATGCCAAGAGCAGGAGAAGGCGCCAAGCTTTCTCCCGGAGGCGAGTGCAGGAAGGAGACTGTGCCCCATGCTCAGAGGAGGCACAGCCCTAGGGCTGATGGTCCCTCCCAGCCTGCTCTCCAAGGCATCTCTCCTTCAGAATTCAAAGCCAATAGTCATTTTAACTGCACCCGTGAGCGGGATAGACTGACCAGGTAACAGAGGCTCCAGCCACCAGATCTGTGTCCTGTCTCTAGTCATGGTCAGTCTCCAGTGGCCACAAAATAAACCTCCTTTCTGGCCCCAAGGGGCACCCAGTGATAGAAGTAGATATAAACCTAGCACAAACCAATCAATGATCCACTATTTTATACAAGCCCTCCCCCTTTCCCTTCTCCTAATTAGGTAGCAGTCATAACCAGAGCCAGGGAAATGAGGAGAAATGGTGAAAATCATGAATCAGCTGCTTGTCCAGTCGTCCCTGATGAGACCTGTGTTCCTAAGGGCCTCGTACTTCCCACAGCTCACCCCCTTCAGGCTTCAAACCCACCTTGAAGTTATTTCCAGGATGTCACTGGGATTGTCCTGTGAGCCAGGAGCATCCTCGAGCACTATTAGTTCTCCTAATTAGGTAGCAGTCATAACCAGAGCCAGGGAAATGAGGAGAAATGGTGAAAATCATGAATCAGCTGCTTGTCCAGTCGTCCCTGATGAGACCTGTGTTCCTAAGGGCCTCGTACTTCCCACAGCTCACCCCCTTCAGGCTTCAAACCCACCTTGAAGTTATTTCCAGGATGTCACTGGGATTGTCCTGTGAGCCAGGAGCATGCTGGAGCACTATTACGGAAAGATTCTCAGAAGAGAAGGTGAAGTCTTGATTATTCTGCTTGATTTTTTTTTAATTACTTCATTCAAATAAGAACTGTCAGAGGGACCACTTGGGTTCCCTTTTGTGATGTGCGAGTGACTAGCTTCTTGTTACAGAGACCCACATTTTTTGTGTCCAAGAAGGGAAACACTAAAATTTACCTGTGTTTAGTCCATCAGTGACCCATCATTCAGAGATGGTAAGATGCAATATGTACATATTTGCAAAAGTGTGCTCTGCAGATAAGCATTGTCATGGACATCGAGTGGCTCAAATAATAGTATATTGTAGTAGCACAAGTATCCTTTTGCCTACATGAACAACTTTAGGCAAATGTATTGCACAGTCATAAAAGAGTCTTGCAAGAATAACTTAATCTATAGCAGGCCTTTTGCGGCCACTATGCCCTCAAAAAATCCCCCCACCCAACATAACTATGCAGGCAAAGATCTTCCGTGCGTGATTGATAGACACAGCACATTTCAGATACCACCATCTTTGGGTCACAATTTACTTAGAGCAGAATCTGTCAATCACAAAACCATTTTAAGTCTCGCTATACTAGATCTTATCCTGTGTAAATTTGATGTCCTTTACTGAGCACACTTGAAGGTGAGAGAGCAATAGCCCAGCAGGCCTAGTGATGGATAACAGAGTTAGTTATCACCCTGTCCCCGCACATCGTGGCATGGCCAGAAGGGGCAGGACATCAGCCATGAGAGATTCAGCTCTCATGCATGTTCATACCTGAGACCAGGCAGGATCTGCGGATCTCGCATAAGCACTGACATCATCAGCTAATCTGTAAGTTTTTTTAAAGAATTAGGGTTGTTAGGGTTTGTTGTTGAAGGCAGACTTTTTGCTGTTAAGCATCTTATTCTGTGCATATGATCTAGTCCAGTCCCTGAAAACCTCAGCAGCAACTTGTCCAGGTTGGTCTTTGGGGTTTTCTCTGTAGTTAGTGGAAGGAGAGTGGGACATTTCCAGAGAGCAGCAAAATATGTTTCCAAAAGAAGTTGGGTGAAATGCCCTCTGGAAATGCTGGTTCCAGGGGTAACCTGAGCCATTAACATGGACCAGACACTGAGTTTTGAGGCAATGAATGCTGAAGGAGGTAACTGTCTCCCAGAGGGATTAATGCTGTCAGCTGGCCCTCAGCCATAAAATCTGTAACACTGAAGATCCCCTTCTATTAATATTTGTATGGTCCTCAGCACTAAGCTAGTTTGATTCACTATATTAAAATAAGGAACAAATTCAGCAACTAGAGAAGTGAAACATAAGTCATTAGCAATATTTCCTCAGACCTTTATGTTACTCAGTGTAATTGAGGAAAGATACTCATGTCTTGTAAAATGTATCAAACAGTGCTTGAGTCTGGCAAAAAGATCTCTCAGAAAGCATTCTACATGACTTGACAGGTTTGGTACCAAATTTAACCCTAAGGATTCCCTCCCATGCCTCCTTGATCCAGCTGGAACTATGCTGACTCACTTCCGGTAATTATTTTTGGCATGCCGTATTTTTCTGAACATCAAGCTTTATATACCAAGATTACTTGGGAACACTGGTTAAAATTCAGTTTCTGACATGGGACCTTTCATGACTCCTCAGTTATCTGGCAAGGTGACCTGAAGTCAATCTTTCACGTAAGATGTTATAAGAGCAAATGTGAATCTGTTTGCTTTATATGGGCACTTAAGTATCAGTGTATTTATCACAGTAGTAGGAACAGTTTCTCTATGACCTACCTCACCCCTCACAGGCTGGGCCTGTGTCCTCACTGCCATACAGCTTGTGTCCCATCCCCTCCCCTTGGCTGTCCCTACAAGCTGAGGCAGACCCTTCCTTTGAGCTTCCCTCTATATGTGCTGTATCTCACTCCGTGGTTTTTACAACACAGAAATTAGCAATATTAGTAATAGCGATGCAGCTATTACTTAAAATGCACCGCCGCACAGGCTAACACCAAGCACTGAAAACTGAGGAGCAAAATCCACAGGTAACACAGTTTATCTCCTTGTACTTTGGTACCTTTTCTGGTTAGGTATTGTTGACTCTACCCCAGCTCTGAGCAGAGGTAAATGACTGAGCAGCCATACCCTCTTCAAAACATAGTCCTTCTGAGTTAATTGGTAAAGTGTAGTGAGCTGTGGAAAAAAAAAAAAGGCTCTGGAAATAATTCACTGTGAGGGACGAGCTCAGTCAGGGCAAGGTAATGTTCTACAAATCCCCCTCTTGTCTTCTGAAGGGGAGTGCAGCCAGCACCAACACGGGATGAGTTAAGAACACACCCCGATTGAAGCTGTCCTCTTGTCTCCCTCCCTCCCAGAAGCTGCTCCAAGGAAAGCTGGGCAGCTCAAGTAATAAATCAGAAGAAGAGAGGTTTGTGGGGGTCACACAGTTGAAGTAGAATACGCCGATGAAACAGTCCACGGAGTTGTTAGCCTTTTTCCTGTCTTTCTCTTTATGCAGACTTTGTTTCAGACTGGTCTCCTTTACACGATGCCTCTATCCATGGGCGTCTGCTTACTCTGAAGAAACTCATCAAACAGGTACCCCTCTGCTGGGTTGACACGATCTCTGCTGGGTTTGTTCAGTTGCTGAACTCAGTCTGTGCTTTACCGCGAAATCTCTAGGATGAGAAAATCATGTTGACTATAATGCAGTGAAGTCTGCGTATAACAAGATTTTTATTTTTTTTTTTTCCTACAAGCAGTTCCTTGCCCAGTGCAAGCTCTGTGCACTGAGCTAATGATGTAACAAAACATCCTGGGTCATAGTTTAATTCTGGTGTAGGTAATGTGATCCCGGTCGCTGGGATCTCCAGGCAGCTGGGGGTTCCTTCTGAAGCTCCTGCGCCTGCGAGCAATATTTGGTGCCTGGGGTGGGGGGCAGCTCCAGATTCAGACAAGGCTCCAGTTAAGGCTTCAGTTCAGCCACCCACCCATCTCTTTCTGAAGTGCCTGAGGGTATTTAGGGATCCTGCTCCCCCTGCAGAAGGGCAAAGTTAGGGAGAAGTGATTTCTGAACCTCATTGTTCTGTTTCCTCAAAATTCTTGGATTTAACCTGTGGAGGAGCTGATGGAAAGGGAAGGGTTATTGGAAAGTTGGAGACTCTTCCAGCTTAACCTTCTGGAGCACCAAGATTGCTAGAAACTAAAGATCCTGTAGAATCAAACCAAAGGTTTCTAATGCAGGGGCTGGCTTTTCTTCAGAGTCTCTGACCAAAGACCAGAAAACACCTCAAAAGCATTTCAGGATTTGATCCAGTCAAACAACCACAGACTCAGCAAGCAGGAGGTCAGAATGCTTGAGCAGTGATGTAAAAAGGCGACAGTCATGACCCTGCCAAGAACACTAGTAGCAATTTTTAATATTTTTTTTATTTATTTCAGAATTTGCTATTCATGCTCTAGTAGAAATAAAATTATGCTGAGTTTCTAAAAGGATGTCTGTATTGTCCCGTTGGACAGTCCACTGCCTGCAGCTTTCTGCGCCAATTAGCAGTGTGTAGAAGGCATGACCTCTGGTACCCCGTGCCAGTATCCACTCTGGCCAAAGCACCA